TGACCTTGCGAAGCTGCCATTTTTGACATGACGTCACACTTTGATGTCACAATGCAGTTGCGTCATAATGTAAAATAACAACTTTAGCCCCTGAATCCTTATCATATGTATAAATTCTATGGAACATGTATCTAATAGGCATTATGCCTTACACAGTGTCAACCTGAGATTATATTGTATGGTTTACTACATAAATTAAAACAAATAAAGCAATTTTCTATGAACTTACAGGCAAATAAATGTGGGAAATGTCATCAAATGCTACTCCTTAAGGGTGCAAAACACAGTTTTATGTATGACGTTATCAGGACGTTACTTGGTGAGGGACAAGCAAAACTGACCCCTATAAAAAAATAAAATGGAGGCTTGTTACATAGACTTCTGCATATCAATGGAAAGATAAAATTGTGAATTTTGTAAATATCCAACTATAATACATTCATCAATTACTACTAAGGGGTATTTGACATTTGAAATATGGGGGATATTGGGTTGTTTATGCATCCATTTTCAGTGCACCTATGCATTTTTAACCCCCCTGCTCAACAAAAACAGAAAAAATCAGACAAAATAAGTTGCATGCATTTCACAGAACAAGTCCTAAGGTTTTCTTTTAGTGTGCTTTCAGGGTACATTTGCCACCTCTTGAAAGAGCTACATTACCTGCTAATTGACTCATGCAATTCTGCATATGTGAAAACTGGATGTTTTGGGAGTTATCTCCCCCTATTAAAAAGTCTCACAATTTTTTTTTTCTAAAAATGAATGCACATTTTTTTCTTTAAATATTAAGATAAGATTCTACTTTATGCGAATAAAAACAAAAAAGATGCAGTTTTCATCTAGACTCCTATAAATAGCAGGAAAATCCCTACCCAGCATGCTTCTCTCTGGGAAAAACCCCCTGGATTTTATACGAAACTGTGTTTAGCTACCTTAAAGGAAATAAAATTTTTTTGCAATTCACTTTTTTGTATTTAGGTGCAAAGAGGACAGAATTCCAAACATTTTGGTGCATAAACTGTTGAATTAGGTTCAGAAATGGGCAAGTTATTGTAAATTTAGTATTACATGTCTACGACATTAGTCGACGCATAAAACAGGACTTCGAAGAGAAATTCAAACCTATCCGAATCAGATCACACAATAATTTTATTTTTTTTTTCAATTTAAAAAACACAAAGTATGAAATATACAGTATTTGAATATCAATAAAATGTTACATTATAAATTTTTTGAAAAGCTGCCAAACAATTTTTACAGATATTGCTAGTTTCTGTATAAACAAGGGGGGGGGGGCTAATTGGAAATAGTCACTGTCTTAAATCAGAAGATTGCCTAAAAAATCTGGACGGTGTCACCCTAACTAGATACTCAATAGGTCTATGTCACATGTATATCTATACAGAAGATACATATTCTCATTTGCGATCAATTAAATTGAAGGTCATGACCTTGCGAAGCTGCCATTTTTGACATGACGTCACACTTTGATGTCACAATGCAGTTGCGTCATAATGTAAAATAACAACTTTAGCCCCTGAATCCTTATCATATGTATAAATTCTATGGAACATGTATCTAATAGGCATTATGCCTTACACAGTGTCAACCTGAGATTATATTGTATGGTTTACTACATAAATTAAAACAAATAAAGCAATTTTCTATGAACTTACAGGCAAATAAATGTGGGAAATGTCATCAAATGCTACTCCTTAAGGGTGCAAAACACAGTTTTATGTATGACGTTATCAGGACGTTACTTGGTGAGGGACAAGCAAAACTGACCCCTATAAAAAAATAAAATGGAGGCTTGTTACATAGACTTCTGCATATCAATGGAAAGATAAAATTGTGAATTTTGTAAATATCCAACTATAATACATTCATCAATTACTACTAAGGGGTATTTGACATTTGAAATATGGGGGATATTGGGTTGTTTATGCATCCATTTTCAGTGCACCTATGCATTTTTAACCCCCCTGCTCAACAAAAACAGAAAAAATCAGACAAAATAAGTTGCATGCATTTCACAGAACAAGTCCTAAGGTTTTCTTTTAGTGTGCTTTCAGGGTACATTTGCCACCTCTTGAAAGAGCTACATTACCTGCTAATTGACTCATGCAATTCTGCATATGTGAAAACTGGATGTTTTGGGAGTTATCTCCCCCTATTAAAAAGTCTCACAATTTTTTTTTTCTAAAAATGAATGCACATTTTTTTCTTTAAATATTAAGATAAGATTCTACTTTATGCGAATAAAAACAAAAAAGATGCAGTTTTCATCTAGACTCCTATAAATAGCAGGAAAATCCCTACCCAGCATGCTTCTCTCTGGGAAAAACCCCCTGGATTTTATACGAAACTGTGTTTAGCTACCTTAAAGGAAATAAAATTTTTTTGCAATTCACTTTTTTGTATTTAGGTGCAAAGAGGACAGAATTCCAAACATTTTGGTGCATAAACTGTTGAATTAGGTTCAGAAATGGGCAAGTTATTGTAAATTTAGTATTACATGTCTACGACATTAGTCGACGCATAAAACAGGACTTCGAAGAGAAATTCAAACCTATCCGAATCAGATCACACAATAATTTTATTTTTTTTTTCAATTTAAAAAACACAAAGTATGAAATATACAGTATTTGAATATCAATAAAATGTTACATTATAAATTTTTTGAAAAGCTGCCAAACAATTTTTACAGATATTGCTAGTTTCTGTATAAACAAGGGGGGGGGGGGTCTAATGGGAAATAGTCACTGTCTTAAATCAGAAGATTGCCTAAAAAATCTGGACGGTGTCACCCTAACTAGATACTCAATAGGTCTATGTCACATGTATATCTATACAGAAGATACATATTCTCATTTGCGATCAATTAAATTGAAGGTCATGACCTTGCGAAGCTGCCATTTTTGACATGACGTCACACTTTGATGTCACAATGCAGTTGCGTCATAATGTAAAATAACAACTTTAGCCCCTGAATCCTTATCATATGTATAAATTCTATGGAACATGTATCTAATAGGCATTATGCCTTACACAGTGTCAACCTGAGATTATATTGTATGGTTTACTACATAAATTAAAACAAATAAAGCAATTTTCTATGAACTTACAGGCAAATAAATGTGGGAAATGTCATCAAATGCTACTCCTTAAGGGTGCAAAACACAGTTTTATGTATGACGTTATCAGGACGTTACTTGGTGAGGGACAAGCAAAACTGACCCCTATAAAAAAATAAAATGGAGGCTTGTTACATAGACTTCTGCATATCAATGGAAAGATAAAATTGTGAATTTTGTAAATATCCAACTATAATACATTCATCAATTACTACTAAGGGGTATTTGACATTTGAAATATGGGGGATATTGGGTTGTTTATGCATCCATTTTCAGTGCACCTATGCATTTTTAACCCCCCTGCTCAACAAAAACAGAAAAAATCAGACAAAATAAGTTGCATGCATTTCACAGAACAAGTCCTAAGGTTTTCTTTTAGTGTGCTTTCAGGGTACATTTGCCACCTCTTGAAAGAGCTACATTACCTGCTAATTGACTCATGCAATTCTGCATATGTGAAAACTGGATGTTTTGGGAGTTATCTCCCCCTATTAAAAAGTCTCACAATTTTTTTTTTCTAAAAATGAATGCACATTTTTTTCTTTAAATATTAAGATAAGATTCTACTTTATGCGAATAAAAACAAAAAAGATGCAGTTTTCATCTAGACTCCTATAAATAGCAGGAAAATCCCTACCCAGCATGCTTCTCTCTGGGAAAAACCCCCTGGATTTTATACGAAACTGTGTTTAGCTACCTTAAAGGAAATAAAATTTTTTTGCAATTCACTTTTTTGTATTTAGGTGCAAAGAGGACAGAATTCCAAACATTTTGGTGCATAAACTGTTGAATTAGGTTCAGAAATGGGCAAGTTATTGTAAATTTAGTATTACATGTCTACGACATTAGTCGACGCATAAAACAGGACTTCGAAGAGAAATTCAAACCTATCCGAATCAGATCACACAATAATTTTATTTTTTTTTTCAATTTAAAAAACACAAAGTATGAAATATACAGTATTTGAATATCAATAAAATGTTACATTATAAATTTTTTGAAAAGCTGCCAAACAATTTTTACAGATATTGCTAGTTTCTGTATAAACAAGGGGGGGGGGGGGGCTAATTGGAAATAGTCACTGTCTTAAATCAGAAGATTGCCTAAAAAATCTGGACGGTGTCACCCTAACTAGATACTCAATAGGTCTATGTCACATGTATATCTATACAGAAGATACATATTCTCATTTGCGATCAATTAAATTGAAGGTCATGACCTTGCGAAGCTGCCATTTTTGACATGACGTCACACTTTGATGTCACAATGCAGTTGCGTCATAATGTAAAATAACAACTTTAGCCCCTGAATCCTTATCATATGTATAAATTCTATGGAACATGTATCTAATAGGCATTATGCCTTACACAGTGTCAACCTGAGATTATATTGTATGGTTTACTACATAAATTAAAACAAATAAAGCAATTTTCTATGAACTTACAGGCAAATAAATGTGGGAAATGTCATCAAATGCTACTCCTTAAGGGTGCAAAACACAGTTTTATGTATGACGTTATCAGGACGTTACTTGGTGAGGGACAAGCAAAACTGACCCCTATAAAAAAATAAAATGGAGGCTTGTTACATAGACTTCTGCATATCAATGGAAAGATAAAATTGTGAATTTTGTAAATATCCAACTATAATACATTCATCAATTACTACTAAGGGGTATTTGACATTTGAAATATGGGGGATATTGGGTTGTTTATGCATCCATTTTCAGTGCACCTATGCATTTTTAACCCCCCTGCTCAACAAAAACAGAAAAAATCAGACAAAATAAGTTGCATGCATTTCACAGAACAAGTCCTAAGGTTTTCTTTTAGTGTGCTTTCAGGGTACATTTGCCACCTCTTGAAAGAGCTACATTACCTGCTAATTGACTCATGCAATTCTGCATATGTGAAAACTGGATGTTTTGGGAGTTATCTCCCCCTATTAAAAAGTCTCACAATTTTTTTTTTCTAAAAATGAATGCACATTTTTTTCTTTAAATATTAAGATAAGATTCTACTTTATGCGAATAAAAACAAAAAAGATGCAGTTTTCATCTAGACTCCTATAAATAGCAGGAAAATCCCTACCCAGCATGCTTCTCTCTGGGAAAAACCCCCTGGATTTTATACGAAACTGTGTTTAGCTACCTTAAAGGAAATAAAATTTTTTTGCAATTCACTTTTTTGTATTTAGGTGCAAAGAGGACAGAATTCCAAACATTTTGGTGCATAAACTGTTGAATTAGGTTCAGAAATGGGCAAGTTATTGTAAATTTAGTATTACATGTCTACGACATTAGTCGACGCATAAAACAGGACTTCGAAGAGAAATTCAAACCTATCCGAATCAGATCACACAATAATTTTATTTTTTTTTTCAATTTAAAAAACACAAAGTATGAAATATACAGTATTTGAATATCAATAAAATGTTACATTATAAATTTTTTGAAAAGCTGCCAAACAATTTTTACAGATATTGCTAGTTTCTGTATAAACAAGGGGGAGGGGGTCTAATTGGAAATAGTCACTGTCTTAAATCAGAAGATTGCCTAAAAAATCTGGACGGTGTCACCCTAACTAGATACTCAATAGGTCTATGTCACATGTATATCTATACAGAAGATACATATTCTCATTTGCGATCAATTAAATTGAAGGTCATGACCTTGCGAAGCTGCCATTTTTGACATGACGTCACACTTTGATGTCACAATGCAGTTGCGTCATAATGTAAAATAACAACTTTAGCCCCTGAATCCTTATCATATGTATAAATTCTATGGAACATGTATCTAATAGGCATTATGCCTTACACAGTGTCAACCTGAGATTATATTGTATGGTTTACTACATAAATTAAAACAAATAAAGCAATTTTCTATGAACTTACAGGCAAATAAATGTGGGAAATGTCATCAAATGCTACTCCTTAAGGGTGCAAAACACAGTTTTATGTATGACGTTATCAGGACGTTACTTGGTGAGGGACAAGCAAAACTGACCCCTATAAAAAAATAAAATGGAGGCTTGTTACATAGACTTCTGCATATCAATGGAAAGATAAAATTGTGAATTTTGTAAATATCCAACTATAATACATTCATCAATTACTACTAAGGGGTATTTGACATTTGAAATATGGGGGATATTGGGTTGTTTATGCATCCATTTTCAGTGCACCTATGCATTTTTAACCCCCCTGCTCAACAAAAACAGAAAAAATCAGACAAAATAAGTTGCATGCATTTCACAGAACAAGTCCTAAGGTTTTCTTTTAGTGTGCTTTCAGGGTACATTTGCCACCTCTTGAAAGAGCTACATTACCTGCTAATTGACTCATGCAATTCTGCATATGTGAAAACTGGATGTTTTGGGAGTTATCTCCCCCTATTAAAAAGTCTCACAATTTTTTTTTTCTAAAAATGAATGCACATTTTTTTCTTTAAATATTAAGATAAGATTCTACTTTATGCGAATAAAAACAAAAAAGATGCAGTTTTCATCTAGACTCCTATAAATAGCAGGAAAATCCCTACCCAGCATGCTTCTCTCTGGGAAAAACCCCCTGGATTTTATACGAAACTGTGTTTAGCTACCTTAAAGGAAATAAAATTTTTTTGCAATTCACTTTTTTGTATTTAGGTGCAAAGAGGACAGAATTCCAAACATTTTGGTGCATAAACTGTTGAATTAGGTTCAGAAATGGGCAAGTTATTGTAAATTTAGTATTACATGTCTACGACATTAGTCGACGCATAAAACAGGACTTCGAAGAGAAATTCAAACCTATCCGAATCAGATCACACAATAATTTTATTTTTTTTTTCAATTTAAAAAACACAAAGTATGAAATATACAGTATTTGAATATCAATAAAATGTTACATTATAAATTTTTTGAAAAGCTGCCAAACAATTTTTACAGATATTGCTAGTTTCTGTATAAACAAGGGGGAGGGGGTCTAATTGGAAATAGTCACTGTCTTAAATCAGAAGATTGCCTAAAAAATCTGGACGGTGTCACCCTAACTAGATACTCAATAGGTCTATGTCACATGTATATCTATACAGAAGATACATATTCTCATTTGCGATCAATTAAATTGAAGGTCATGACCTTGCGAAGCTGCCATTTTTGACATGACGTCACACTTTGATGTCACAATGCAGTTGCGTCATAATGTAAAATAACAACTTTAGCCCCTGAATCCTTATCATATGTATAAATTCTATGGAACATGTATCTAATAGGCATTATGCCTTACACAGTGTCAACCTGAGATTATATTGTATGGTTTACTACATAAATTAAAACAAATAAAGCAATTTTCTATGAACTTACAGGCAAATAAATGTGGGAAATGTCATCAAATGCTACTCCTTAAGGGTGCAAAACACAGTTTTATGTATGACGTTATCAGGACGTTACTTGGTGAGGGACAAGCAAAACTGACCCCTATAAAAAAATAAAATGGAGGCTTGTTACATAGACTTCTGCATATCAATGGAAAGATAAAATTGTGAATTTTGTAAATATCCAACTATAATACATTCATCAATTACTACTAAGGGGTATTTGACATTTGAAATATGGGGGATATTGGGTTGTTTATGCATCCATTTTCAGTGCACCTATGCATTTTTAACCCCCCTGCTCAACAAAAACAGAAAAAATCAGACAAAATAAGTTGCATGCATTTCACAGAACAAGTCCTAAGGTTTTCTTTTAGTGTGCTTTCAGGGTACATTTGCCACCTCTTGAAAGAGCTACATTACCTGCTAATTGACTCATGCAATTCTGCATATGTGAAAACTGGATGTTTTGGGAGTTATCTCCCCCTATTAAAAAGTCTCACAATTTTTTTTTTCTAAAAATGAATGCACATTTTTTTCTTTAAATATTAAGATAAGATTCTACTTTATGCGAATAAAAACAAAAAAGATGCAGTTTTCATCTAGACTCCTATAAATAGCAGGAAAATCCCTACCCAGCATGCTTCTCTCTGGGAAAAACCCCCTGGATTTTATACGAAACTGTGTTTAGCTACCTAATGATAAAACCCGATTTTAATTGAATCCCGAGCCCGATCGTCACACATGCTGTATGTTGTAAAATGACATTTTCGCTTTTTATCATGTTTATTAAAATGTATGCTCCATATATATGTTCTCTCTCTATATATAAATGAATTCTTTTCGGAATTAAAAAAAAAAATATTTTTAACCCCGCTCAAATTATCCGGATGATAATAGTTACACCGATCATGGTTTCGTAGTTAAGTTCAGACTGTAGAACATCCGGTTTGAATACGTGTGTTTTCTGACTTTTCGGATAGCCAACTCTTGTTTTTTGGAACTTACGACTTATGTCAAGGTAATATGTTAGACGGTGTGACCGTTAGTGAGGGCGGAGCCATGAAGAGAAAATTGCTGCATTTAAGATTTTATTGTTTAATGATAAATCGGCTGATTAGTTAAATTCTGAAATTGTCAGTGTATAGACCTAAAGCACAGAGTTCGCTTCATGCAGGTCTATGGTCAGTGTCCGAAAATCATAACAAAGAACTCAGTTCTCTTGAAGAAGAAAAAAAACCTTCCCATCTCTTACATGTACCTCATTACTTTTCAATCAAAAAATGCAATTTAATTGCTTAATAAATCTGAGAACGCCTACGAAATTTCATCATGGTAAAAAGAGGGGCATGCATTGGACCAGTAATGGATTCAATTAACATACCAGGCCCAAGAAATGAGAGACGCCTCCGTCTAACAATAATAAATTCATAAACATATTCTGAGCATCAATTCCTTTTCTTTCACTTACTTGATTTATATGTTTATTTAACAACACTTTATATCTAGAAACCTCAAGTCAGTTCTCAACTGTTATTACTCCCATTACATGGTTATGACATCATCTAAAGTAAGAACAATATTATCATGGCCAGATCAGAAGACGAACTTGGGACTCAAACTACACTGCTGACAGATGATCTACTTCCTGGATGAATCGAGTATTCTGACCAACATGTTACTATCACACAAGGGTTGAAAATATAACAGCATCAAAATTTTTACGAGAAAAAAATTTGCAAACTAAAGGATGCATGATCCTCATCAGGGACATTTAATACTATGTCGACGTCCCTGTTGTATTATTTCTTTTTTTCTTTTTATTTATTTCTTTTTGTTTTACATCAATTGGAAACCCATTTATTATAACTTTGAACTAATGAAGTCCTATAACTTTGTGGATATCTACATGCATTTACTGTAAGATGTATGCATGTAGACTGAACAACTACCTTACCAGACTGTGCATCATACATTGTTAACTTTTTTCCCTTGCTTTAACTCAGACAAATATATGTAATTCCAATTTCAAAAAAAAAAAAAAAATTAAATTTTTAAGATACTTAAATTGTATTAGATTTTTCTTTTGATAGTGATCTTTATAATAAACTGAAATTTTGTCATAGGATAATAAACTGAAATTTTGTCATAGGAAAACTTCGTAAAATAAAATATTTTATTAAAAAATCACAACAAAAATGAGACTTAGACTTCACTCTGCTATAAATATTTTCATGTACAAGTAGATATTCATAAACAATTTGGATACCTTAAAAAAAGAAGAAGAAGAAGAAGAAATCCACACACTCTGATTGAGTCCCCTGTTAGATTTTCACAGGTTATTTTATTTTATCACCTTAAAAACATTTTTAATGGTTCAAAAATATATACTATGTCTAAAAAAAATCCTATATTTCTAGCTTGGTATGTATTGACAAGTATAATCCTGAAGACATTTATTACTGGCAAATTTTATTAAACAAATAAATAAGGATATTCTTGTGAAAGGGACCACAGATAGATCCGCTCCTCCATAGTGCAGACAGCGCCGCCTTCAGGGAAATTCTGACCAATCAAATGCCGTTTTACTTGTTAGCGCGAACTATAAATAAATCTTAACGTCTAAAACAAAAGTAGGAAGGGTCTGATTACAAATGGATTTGATTTTGAGTAAAAAAGAATAACTACACATTATCCTTGGATTGAATGTTTTTACTTTGATGAAAATCTCATCAACAACGAGAATTTGCGCGTGGACAAAATCGACGCCATTTGTGCCGACGCCATATTGTCGCCAAGAATCTCAGTTCCATAGGTATTGTAAATGACATAGTTTTCAATAGATTTCTTTTATTTTTCATATACATACGTGTTACCTATAGGGAGAGCTTCGCTCTCACGGGCCCTTCGGGCCCTTGAGAGGGCTCCGCCCTCTATAAATTAAATACTTTTGGTTCAAAACTTTGATAAAAGCATCGATATTTTTACAAAAAGTGTCTTCAATCTCAGCTTATCTGATTATTCATTAAGGATATCCTCATCAGAACAGTAGAAATAGATTGTAGCAAATAGCATAACCCTTAATCATATGCATGTTGATGATATGGTAGTCTCGTTCAACCTGACCCTCGGCTGTCTCCATAAATTTCCGACCACCCAGAGGGTCTGGTAAAGAATCATGTTAGTGTTTGAAACCGTCAGAGGGCGCTATCTTGTTTTCATTCTGACGATCCTTTTTGAAAACAAACGTTATATGTGTTTCTTCTTCTGGATTGTGTCTTTATATTAATAAACTAATCTTTAATTTGGGACACCAAACGAGAAATTGCTTTATCAATCGAAAGAATGTGTATTACGCAGGTAGGGCTACACTACTTTCACTTTTGCTTTCGTACCGAATATTTGCAAGATACACACTTATACACTTACCTATAACTGGTGGGGATTACTGTAAACAATTTCTATCTAACAGCTTTAACTTTCAGACATATAACTTTTACATCTTTAAGTTATTTTTCTGCCGATTTATCATGTATTTATTTAAATCGTGTAGGTGTGTTCTTTTCAGCCAATCAAAAACATTTCAGTAAGCCTCGTTTTGGCATTACAAACGATATTGCATATCTTTACCAGACCCTCTGGGTGGTCGGAGATTTACGGAGACAGCCGAGGGTCTGGTAGAACGAGACTAATGATATGGAGGAAAAATATACATAAAAAAGTGAATGTAGGTGAAAGCCTGTCCACTTTTCTGAAGAGATTAGGTTTGTTTTATTGTTTGTTGATATAGATTACTGCTCAAAAGATTTTTTTTTTTTTGTAATGTCTAACCTGTTGAGATGAAGATGTAAAAAAAAAAGAAAAGCCTAATAGTGAATTAATATTGATAGTATGTCAAGAAATGCAAATGAATCATCAGCTTGAATTATCAGTTTTTTCACAATTATTGACCTGAGTAGGTCAATGTATAGCAAATAATGCACAATAAAACTACGTACATACATGTACACTGTATTGTCTTACTGAACAGATTTAGCTGTCATTAGGTCAAAATTGCAAATAATAACATGCCTCTTATATCTGTACATGTATATAAAGTAACTCTTGTTGGCTTGAACTTCAATTTCTCGGAAGTTCTTGATCGCTTGAAGTGAGTCTTCGGTCCCGATTTTTTCCTCTATATAACTAAGCAGATTTGCTCTTGATTTCTCGAACTCCTGATCTCTCTAAACCCTTGATCCCTCGAAGTCAAAATGCAGTCCCGCTGTGCTATGAATTTTACCCTTGATACCTTGAACTGAAGTGGCTGTGTGTATACCAAGTTATAATGTTCAAACTTTTGCCATAACTGTATATCTGTGTGTCTGTCTGAGTGTCTGTTGTCAACTTAAACCTTCACCATAACTTTAGAACTATACAAGATAGTGGCTTCATATTTAGTATGCATACTCCACTAATGAAGTGCTTTCAAATGGCAACAAGGACAATGATTATGTGATCTTGACTGTGACCTGTATGCTAAAAAAAATTGCATTTTTGAACTTTGTTGATGTGTTTCACAAGCGCATCTTGCTTTTAGCTCTACTGGTCAGAGACCAGAAGAGTTTATGCGATAGTAATGCGTCCGGCGTCCGTCTGTCTGCAAACAATACTCCTCCTTAAATTTTAGTCTGATTTCAATATAACTTGGCAAACAAGTAGACTATACATAATTCTGTGCATCAGTCTTTGATAAGTACAAACCAGTAGAGCTACAGTCTCAACAGAGACCTCTGGTTATTTTTCTTCCATCCCGGTTGTTGCTAATGCTATTACATAATTAGTTTAAATTAGAATGCAATAGTACCAGTAACCTGGACATAATTTATCATTTTAGAGAGAAGAAAACTGTGTGACGTTAAAAGAAACCAGTGAGATAAAATCATAGAAAATGTATGATGATTCAGGATGTGGTCATTTGGTAAGTGGTAATTCATTCATGATTAGTATGTATATGACAATTGCCTGAAAAAAAGATTCTAAATTTTATTTAAATACTGAACTGTGGTATATCAGCTGTGAGCTACAAGAAGTTTTATGTAAAAGCTAGGGCTGAAACAATTTGCCCCCTCCATGTTATGTGTGTACTGCTATGATTGACATACAATCAGTTCTCTTATACATACACTTCAATAAAACTTTGTCATCTTGAACCTGAATTGAAAAGAAAAAAACTCTGAGATCTTTCGAAAAAAAATGAATGAAAAAAAGGAAATGCTTATTAACTGATTTCTTGCTGGTCAGTATTTTGATTACTGAAAGGAAGCTTTAAAAACTAAAGAGTTCTACTTTAATATCAGGTAGTTTTATGAAGTTAGAGTGATCTGCCCTTAGATTAAGATTATGAAAAATGTTATTTTACATTCAGTTAGATTTTTTTTGATAGATTAAATTATTTTGAGAATTATTTAAAATTAAAAAAATAGGAAATTAGTTATTAGCTCACCTGAACTGAAAGCTCAAGTGAGCTTTTCTGATCAAAATTTGTCCGTTGCCTGTTGTTGTCGTTGTTGTCTTCGTAAACTTTTCCATTTAATTGTTTTCACATTTTCATCATCTTCTCAAAAACCACTGGGCCAATTTCAACCAAACTTGGCACAAAGTATCCTTGGGTGAAGGGGATTCAAGTTTGTTCAAATGAAGGACCACACCCTTTTCCAAGTTTTACATAGGCATATATAAGAAAATTCTTTAAAAATTTTCTTCTTCAGAACCACTGAGCCAGAAAAGATGAAACTCATGTGGAATCATCCTCAGGTAGTGTAGATTCAAGTTTGTTCAAATCATGACCCCTGCAGGGGTGTGCAATTAGAAAAATTTATTACTAGCCCACGGGCTAGTGGCAGCTATAAAATTACTAGCCCCAAGTAAAAAGTTATTAGCCCAAATACAGGGGCAAAAATTTAAATAAAATGAAATTAATTGTTTAAAAAGTAAGGATACTGAAGTAATTCTTTTTACTATTAAATTTTAAAATCAAGTTTAAATTATCATGAAAGAAAATAAAAATGAATTTAAATAACATGAATAAATTATCTTCCCTTTTTCTGAACATTGCACTATTTAGCAGCAGCTCATTTAGAAAGAAATTAAATTCATTTTGTTTTCATGTTTAATCATTAAATACACTGGAAATATATTTTATGTGTGTCACAAAACACTTATTTTTCAGTTGATTGAGTGATGGTAAATATTTTAGTGAGATATATGCATGTATTTACCATAAAGGAAGGAATAGAGGAAATTCGGATTAAAAAAAAGATCGTTTTTGGAAGTAATCAAGTCAGGTTATACTGCAAAACAGATAAGATTATTGAAATTTATTGACAGTTGGAGCATGTTATATGGAAAATATTCACTGGTTGGGAATTAAATTGCAAAAAACCGGTTGTGCTTTTCATTTTTGCGTGTATAGTTATAATTTTTACTAGCCCGACGGGCTTCCTCCTGGCAGAAAAACACTAGCCCGACCCCAAAAAATGGTAGCCCCGGGCGTCGGGCGATGCTAATTGCACACCGCTGCCCTGGGGCAAGGGTGGGGCCAAAATGGCTGACCCAACTTTTACATAGGGATATATAGATAAACCTTTTAAAATCTTCTTTTCAAGTATTTCAAAGCTATGATTAGTGATATTTATATGGAATCATCCTCCTTAGTGTAGATTTTAGTTTGTTTAAATGATGAACGCCTGGAGGGGGGGGGGGGGGCGGGGGGGGTAAATTAAAGCCCGATGTGCTCAGGTGTTCGCTGTGCAGGGGCTGACAAATAGATTTTTAAGGCATTGCCCAAGGGCAAGTACATGGTCAAAATTCAATTGCCCTACCTGAATTTTTGCCTGCCCTACCATTAACTTATACTGTATTTATAAATATTTATAAAAAATACTGAGTAGAATATTGGCATACATATTGATTTTATTTTTGATAATCGATTAAGTCACTTGCCCACGGGCAAGTGGTTGATAAAATTTCACTTGCCCAACCCTAAAATTCACTAGCCCCGGGCGACGGGCAATGGGATTTGTCATCCCCTGGCTGTGGCCCCTGGGCCTCTTGTTTTCATAAATTTTTCCAATGTAAGTAAACAGCAATGATTTCTGCTTACAGATAGCCCATTGTCTTTGAAAATTTCTGAGGGGAAATGAGGCACATACCATATGTTCTAAATGCTTAAAAAAGGCTCATTATGCATATATTTATATGAAATATGATAGATTTTTTTCTCTCCAAGGAATAATTTCTGCAAGTCACTAAGTTTTTAGAGTTTCCTTTATTTTATAGATATTCAATGAAATTATTTGAAGTATTAAATTTTGGTAAATTTTATGATACTAAAAGGTTTTATGGATGAAAAAACAGCATGCGTGTATGACAATCAGGGCTTAAATTTTTAATGTCTCTTAATTTTTCAGTGACATTAAAACAGGAATTGTCATTACCAATAAACGAATTTCACATTCCTAAGAGTTTTCTCTAATTGTCGGTGTATCGCTCATTTTTCCCATTTTGTCCTTTGTAAGTTACTTGTTAATATATTTTTAATCTTCAAAAATATTGGACAATTACGATCTGTATCTGTATTGCCAGAGTATGGGGACAACATGAAAATCATAATGAATATGTTCATACAGATTTTATTTCTAAGATATTGTCTCTCAGCATTGATACGGTTAAAGAGGGAAAACAGCGTCTTAAGCCGGTTGACCCCAGATCGACCCTGCGAAGGGGAATAACTTTTGTAAATGTGAAACTTCAAAGTCCTTTATGGTATATCATATAGATCTAAAACTGACTGAATATTGATCAGCCAATTCATGAACACGATGAATGGATGTAAATAATATTGGTCAATATATGTAAAAAAAAAAAAAAATTAAATTACTTGTTTATTTATAGGTTTGTGGTATCTCTCCAATTGAAGTTTATAAACTTGTTATTTATTTCTTAAATAAACTGAGCGTACATGCAATACTGGTATAAAATTACTCATAAGATACATGGATACTTAAACCATGATAAAATCATATGTGTCCAATGCAGCATATGATAAATCATTAACATACAAGTACATGTGTATATATACTGTAATACATATATATTGCATTATTTTTAGGTCCTGTTCTGTGGATGCCCTCAGACAGTGTCTACCCATCACTCCATGTGACCTTGGACTAATTTTCTAGGTCAAAGGTCAGTATCAAAATGTACTGTATATTATCTTTATTTAAATTCGTAGTCCAGAGTATATTTCTCCCCTGGTGTTATCTAGCTTTTGTCTAATGGGGTGGAGGGTCTGCAATGATCTTCAACCAATTTATAGGTTGAATATCAAAGTTAATAAAAAAAAATCTCTCCCTAATATTTTTGTTATTATAAAGGGTATGTTTTCTCTCAAACTAATCAAACTTAAAGCAGGGTTCGTAGTATGAGATACATGTGGTAATATATTCTCAATGACATAATAAGGCTGAAAACATTATTATTATGTTCTTTTTTTCACTAATCATACAGCATTAAATATTAAAGAGATAAATTAAATGCTGAAATCATATGTATCATGGTCATGGAAAGTAATTAGAGTGTATTGATATTGGTATATTAAAGGACATTGACTGATTTTTCAGATTTCTAAGTTATCAAGCATTATAATTCTGACATCATATAATAATTTTGTATGAATATTGCAGATCATAGGTGATGTGAAGAAAACCAGGAAACTGATGTTGAAAGAAGTACTTAATGACCCTTATGAATGGACTTGAATGTGAAAGACTGTCTATTGTTTATCTAAGATATATGAATTTATTTAATATTTTGATATCATTGAAAATTCAGTTACAGTTTTTGTACATCAAATGAATTATTAAACATTTAAAATGGTAATGCTTTTTTCTTTTACATGTAATAAATTTTTTTGATAGATTTTTAAAAGAATAGCATTATTTCACATTGCTTCCTTTAGAAAAGTTGGGGAATCTTGAAGTTTCCCAGTAATTTCCACCAGGAATGGGACTCCAGATAATTCCACCAAGTTTCCGCCACACAGAAAGAGCTACACAAGTTCCATATAGTTTCCTGAGTCAAGGAAACTTTAGGAATCATAAGGTTTCACGAGCTTCCATGCTGTTTCCGATAAAAGAAAACCTTAAGATTCCATCAAGTTTCCATTCCACGGAAACCACTTCGCTCATATTCCATATGGTTTCCTGAGTCGAAGAAACTTTAGAATCGTGAGGTTTCCCGAGCTTCTATGTAGTTTCCCGTATAAGGAAACCTAAAGATTCCATCAAGTTTCCATTCCACGGAAAACCCCTACGTTCCGATTCCATATGGTTTCCTGAGTCAAGGAAACTTTAGGAATCGTGAGGTTTCCCGAGCTTCCATGTAGTTTCCCGTATAAGGAAACCTTAAGATTCCACCAAGTTTCCATTCCACGGAAACCCCCTACGCTCCGATTCCATCAAGTTTCCTGTTTCTGGAAACCAGTGGAATCTTCAGGTTTCCCATTACGGGAAACTACGTGGATGTTCGGGAAACTTCAGGTTTACAGAGGTTTCCGTGGTTCGGGATACCTTATGGAATCGGAGCGTAGGGGGTTTCCGTGTCACGGAAACTTGGCGGAATAACCTAGCATCCGCTACGGAAACCACTGGGAAACATGATGTAAACTTGAGGTTTCCATGTGGTTTCCATAAAGTTTCCCATGATGGGAAACCACTTTTTTCACCCAGTGACGTTATGCTGGATATTTTTTGATGAAAACATTAACTTATTTTCTGTCCTTTTCATGATTTCTTTAGGAAGGTCTATTGTACTAATGTCATTACAGAAGGGTCCTGCCTTAAAGTATATTTCTCGTATTTTGTTAAGCGTAGGTTTGTAGTTATCTTCGTTGACATTCATCATGCACTCATCAAGAAAAAGCAAGCAGTACAGTAGACTTCTGACGTCAGAATCCAATTTATGATATTTACCTGGAATTAAATTAAAACATATATCATAATTATATTACTTCTTTATTTCCTGACGTAAACATTTCAACAGTCATCATTTACACAACGACTTCAACAAACTTGAGTGTAAAATCACCTTTCTTTATAAAACGTATACACAATACGTATTTTCAAATGTGAATTGTTTCTTTTGTGGAATCTCATTATACTAATCTCAAACATTATTCATATTGTTGAACTGTCTCAGTTAACTAATGTTTTGTTATCTGTTTTCATTTGATACATGACACTTGAATTACACCTTTATACCGTGTATGGAAATTTATATTTCGAACTCTCTAGGACAGTGCGTTAGAAGGCACAACTATAGATACGAAAATATTTCTTTTGAAATATGATCATACTTGGTTTTTTGTAAGCTTTGTTATTTATGATGTAAACATCCCAGTGAGGGTAGAGACCTATACATGATCTAACAATGTCAGGTCTCCTTTGATTCCATAACCATTTCACGTGTGGCACAGAGTCACCTGATCTACCGCTGCAATGTGCACTCTCCCCTTTGTGTTCAAGATTGCGTAAGAACTGTTTTCTTTTACTCTGCTTCTGTCTTGATATCGCCTTTGGTACATTAACTATATAAAACAACAAGGATACAAAACTCAGATTATGGAGATAAATTTTTTAAATAAAAAAATTGGCTCTGCTTCATAACTTTAAAGAATGCATTTATGACTTATGTAATGAGTAATGCTTATGTCCTCAGTGGTCATCGCTCAAATCATTTCCTTGCGTTCAACTACATGTTAGGACTTTTCACAAAAGAACGCGTGTATGTCTTTTTTATATATTGTTTCAATTGCATTTCATATAAATTATTACATAGATAACATTTCAATGACTGATTATAGGTTTGAAGTGCATTGGGATGGGAAAGGGTTTGGGCTGATGAGGCTTTGAATACCGCGGAAAATCCTGGGTTCCAAAAACGGAACTAAGTTTTGTATAAATTGTTTAAGCTCCATGAAATAAGCTCCGTTTCTTACCCACTAAAAACTCTGGCCTCGAAAAATACTTTATTGAAGTATTTTGGTTAGACCCTTTTTTTCCAAATATCCATCTTTTTTTATAATTAGACTATTATTCAGCTTAAATTTGATGATTTTGGGAGAGGATTGCATACGCCTTAAATCTGCTTCAGCATCTAATATATACATGTAAGAAACAAAACATAGCATTTAAAACTATGAAAGTGCCTTTTAAAATACTTACGTATCCAATACAATCCATCAAGGATATCCCCGTCCTCAATTGTGACGTGAGTTAGTGTGTTCATTTGTAAACGGGATATAAGTAAGTAATCAATATAGTTACTTAACATATCGATCCCACAAACAACACACTTCTCTCTGGGTTTTCTTCTGTATCCTTCTGACCTCAGGTACTTCCTGGATGTTTCATAACTACTGTAGTAGAAAGGTAAAGAAGGGTCTATTAAAGCTAACTTGAACATTATCTCATCCTTTACGTCCTCTGTTATCTTGTTCTGATCTTCCCAAACAAAATCACGTGACTCTAGTCCGTTCAGAACAATATGTGCCTCCTCGCTTGTCACGGGGTCTTTTTTATCGCTTACTATCCGCAGTATCTCATTCAGTATGTCCAGCCATTCTTTGTCTGTGAAATCAGGAGGACCGGAATCAGAACAAAGGAAGCAATACAACACGGCCACCTCATCATCAGATAATGTGGAGACGTCATCTAGAAAAATACAATATCATAAAGTTTATCTGAACATTTATACGTAATTTTGTCATGCTTTTTTGCATTGTCTTCAGCTACGGTCCTGGAAATATACTAAATATACATGTAAGCCTTTCAGAAGGGTGTCTGAAGAAAAAATAGAGGCAGCAGGGTAACAATGTAATCAAAGTTGACGAAAATTATAATATTTGTTTGGACAGTGTTCATGCAGACATCAGAGGAGACAACTCTTTCCTGACATGGTTCAATAAATGTCATTTTTCAGCGTAAATGGTTTTTTTTTTCTCGTTTTATTAGTGTCGAAAGGGCAACGTATTCCTTGGTTTTTCAAAAGAAGTAACAATGTAAAGACTCCATTAAAAAATATTTAAAAAATTAAAAAAATTTAATAAAATAAAAATGACCGAAAATAAATAAGAAACTAACTTAAAGATAATTTTGAACAAGACACATACATTTTCCAACTTTCCCCCAAATTTTGGTCAATTGTTCAATCATAAAATTGATAGATGGTGAATTATATATTTTTTAGTGAGAAGGGAGTCAGAATACATAAAGATAATTCACATTCTGCGGAAAACGTTTCTCTTGGTTACTTATCCCTAAGTCTTAAACGTGTGAATATCTAAACCATTATATAGTACCATTAAATGTATTTCCATCTCCCTGTAATGCCATTGGAATACTACTCACTCGTGACATAGTTTGCAAAAGTCTTATATTATTTTTCAATGTAATCAGTATCAATCATCTACTCTGTAATGACATATATAAAGCTTTTTATTAATAATCGTAGTCACCATCTCGGTGTCTATGATTTCCCGCGGATATTTAAGAAATAAACAACAATGTTAAAATAAATTTTGGGAAATGAACTTTTAGTTGGTCACGTGATCAAATACTGTGAAGCCCGAAGAGCAGTTTATTACTTATATTATATATAACATTTGAGACGAATATATTTCGAGTTTAATTGCATTTATTATACGAAGGGGCCGCCGTATTGCTATGTTGTGACGCGCAATGACCTAGAAGTGTTTGGTCAAAGTTAGTTTACCTCGCTCCAACATTTGAATGTTTACATTCGTGTTAAGCAGTCTAGTTCAGAAAATACCTGAATTTAGTGAAAGAACATATGATAATTACGGAGAATAATTTGACTCTTTCATAAGTCTCACAATTTTTGAAGTCAAAAGCGGTAATATCGCCTGTTTTAGTTTACATAACTCCATTGAATTTCAGGTTAACAAGCTAATTCAGAGAATTCGTGTCCCCCGCTTAGGGAAAAAGTCGGCTCCCCCTGACTGAATTTGTAGAATTATTAAAAGTATACATGTATACTGAAGGAAATAAAATACATGTATGTCAATATGCATATAAAGATTTGATTGCTTATTCTTTATTATGTGTATAGAAGATTTTTTTATATGGAATATTTATCACACTGTAATGATGATTTTATAACCTCATAAATTTTTCATTTCACATGCTGAATACTATCATTTAGTAAAAAAAAAGTATTTTAAAAAAAAAAAAAGATAGGTTCGACCGAGATTCGTTCCCGGGACCTCTCACATTTGAAGCGAGAGACATAACCACTAGACCACGGAGTCGCTTTAAATGAAGGGAAGTATATGCAGAAATGAAGTCACATACATGTATATATTCATGTTTTCATGTTCGGTATTCTCAAAATTTTACAAAATCCATGGTGTTTGATTTATTTAGCATTTATTAAAGAGTGCTAATAGATGTAATAAGAACATAAAGTCCGCCGAGAACCTGTTTTATACGCAATAACTCTCCTCATGCCCCTGCGCTAAAAATAGCGACATGGAATACTATAAATACTAATAAAACAAACGGGGCGGGGCACTTTGAGAGGGGCGAGAGACGTTCTAGGGAGTTTTGGCATAAAATTACATTGCATAAGCTCAAAATCTTCTTGAAATATCGCCCGGAAATGATAGTGTTACACACAGACAGAATGTATAAATTTACGACCTTGAACTTTGACCTTTTGACCTCAAAATCAATAGGGGTCTTCTTTAGGCCACAGGGAGTTGTTATGTAAAATTTCATTGCAATAGCTCAAATGGTTCTAGAGATATCGTGTGGAAACGAAAGTGTTTTAACAGACAGAATTTGCTTATTTATGACCTTGACCTTTGACCTTTTGACCTCAAAATCAATAGGGGTCTTCTTTAGTCCAGAGGGAGTTGCTATGCTAAATTTCATTGCAAAAGCTCAAAGGTTCTCGAGATATCGTGTGGAAACGAAAGCGTTACAGACAGACAGAAAGACGGACGGACGGACGGACGGACAAACCCAAATTAATATCTCCCACTTTTCAAGCGGGGGACAAAAAGGGTAAGTGCGGTTCTAGGCTAGGCCTAATCTATAGAATTCAAAACCTTATTCACATCAAAAGAAGATTAATTGCACCTGTCGTGATTGAAAAATATCCATATTGTTTATCATTTTATCATGTTCATTGTTATTATTAACTTAGAACCATTCCAAAACAAGTTGCACCGTGACAGAAATATGTAGACAAAATATCACATC